TGGATCTGGACTGTTTACTGCCTTTGATTCTCACCAGTGGCTGTGACTATAGTGGACTAAAGCACTGGTTCAGCTGGAAACTAGCAGGCTGGACAGAGAAATGCGTGAAACCCAACAACTGAATGACATCTACTTTGTCTGCCTGCTTGCCACCAGGCATTTAGTTTGACAGCAGTTGTTGCTGTCTTCACATGGCTTAATAAAGCCAAAGGAGATCACAGCACTGGCAGCTTCATTATTAAGGAGATCACAGCACTGGCAGCTTCACACTGTTGAGGTTTCTTACTCTCCTGGACTTATCTGCATTGGTTAACTCAGTGATTTTCTTTGGTTGCGTCTTGGACTTACCTGCATCGGTTAACTCAGTGATTTTCTTTGGTTGCAAAGATAACCACTATCCATGGTTAAGCCTTTACTTTTCCTCTTTCTTACAGAAATCTGACAGAGACCCCTAAGTGCAGTGCATACACATGTTTTGTAGTAGTCTATATTGTGGTAAAAGTGCAGGGGTTTTCCACTGTTATTTGTTAATTAATTTTGGATGTCATTTTCCTAAGAATTTATTATGTCTGAAAAAAACAGAACCCATTTTTTTCAGAGTAATTTCCAGGTATATGACTGCTGCACAGATGAAAACTTGTTGTCATGCTTTGATTTTGTCCACATGGAAAATTTGCCTGCCTTGGCATAAGCATTTGGACTGGGTTTTATACTCAAGTCTTTGGTAGCAGGTCTGAACATGAGCAATTACATTGCACCAAGTGGCTGCATGTGTGTTTGTTCTTCCTCTTAAATATTTTTCCGTATTTCAAAAAAAAAAGAAGACAAAAGTTAGTATTTTACAAGTCATCTTTAAAATTAGCTGTTTGGAATACATGTCAGTCTTGTTTGAGGGACAGTCTCTGTATTTTAACTTCTGAGTCTTGGATCTCATAGGCAAGTCTCAAATTGCTCTTCAAGTATGTGAGAACACTCTTTATTACAGCTCTGTGAAGCCTTTGTAGAAATGGCAAGTGTGTATTCATCTCCTGAAAGCTTGTGAAGAATTTGCTGTAGCTTATGATAGAGCTTCTCAGCCTTCAGGAATGTAAACTAGATTCAGTGGCATTAAAGATAGATGTTCAGAAGGAACTGGCACATGAACAGAATTGGGTTTTAAATATCTTGTTTAACTTCTACAATTGTGCTATTTTAATTGACTGAGCAAAATGATTAATTTTTTAAAAAAAAACCCTAGATAGAAGATTTAAACCTGCTTTTTTTTAAAAAAAAACTGCTTTGCAGTGAATGCAACTTGGTCTGCAGTGCCTTCACATACTTTCCTTCACTGCTTTCCATCCTGAGGTTTGGCAGTAGGCTCAGAGCTGTGCTCTAGCAGCAGGAACCCTTGCTGCTCAGCCCCTCTCCACATTTTCACTTTTATTTTGGTCTGCAAAAAAAAAAAATGCTGGGCCAAATTCCTGAAATGTAACTAGCTGCTTTCCCTGGTTGCTGGTTATCTAAATCAGCCTGGTCAGTACAGCAGGTTTTTGTGAATACCAGTCTTTACAGATTTATTTTGCAATTCTGCCTTTGTGGCTTAGTCTTTTGCTGTGTTGTCATAGCATAAACTTGATGTCTCCCAGTCTCATCACATATTATGCAAAGGATGTATCTGATGAGGGAGGGAACATTGGATGAGACAACTTGCTGGCTGAGATTACTGCTCGAAGCACAAGATCTGCACCCATGTTAGCACTGGAGGAAGTAGCATGTAGTTTGTTTTATCTGCATGTTTATCAATGATGGCATAGAAGTTTGAAAATTAAGAAATTACTTAGGATGATAAGTGCATAAGACTTTTCATACATTACAGCAATCTGGAAAGTAGTAAGAAGGGAAGGGGGAGAACTTTACACTCATGTATTGCTGAAGCATTTAGAGGATGATTTATTAGGTAGAATTAATGCTTTTGAATATGTGGGTTTGATGGTTTTTAAAGTCTTCAGTTCAAGCTCTTGTGAACTTGATCCTGGTATTGTGCACTGATTTCTTTATTGCTTGTTTGGGGAAAGGGCTGTCCTGGAAGACAGTAGGGGAATTAGTCTCCCAGCCTGTTAGTTTTGTGTTTGTGAAGCATCAGGTCTGAAGTCCTGAGCCTGCCTAACAAATTCTGCTTGAGCAGGTAAGTGCTTTTTGAAGGAGTAGGTCTCACTGATGTAGAGTGGAGGGCTTCATTTGTGGGTTTCCTTCAGGGACAATCTTTAACCAAAGGTTCTGTTTAAAGAAAGGAAATTCCAGATTATGTTTGTATTTTCTGTGTATTTATACTGATACATGCATTGATATTATACCACTTGAATTAGGCTATGAACAGGCCTTTGGTAACTTGGGGTAGTGAGAAGTAGGTCTCACTGATGTAGAGTGGAGGGCTTCATTTGTGGGTTTCCTTCAGGGACAATCTTTAACCAAAGGTTCTGTTTAAAGAAAGGAAATTCCAGATTATGTTTGTATTTTCTGTGTATTTATACTGATACATGCATTGATATTATACCACTTGAATTAGGCTATGAACAGGCCTTTGGTAACTTGGGGTAGTGAGAAGACAGGTTTCAACCTTTTAAAGTTTTAGACCTTCCAGTCTAAGTAAGGAAAGATCATTAAGAGACAGAGATCTAGATTGTGACAGCAGTGAGCTGAAGAACCAACTGCACAATGAGAAGTTCCAAGAAGAGAGTTTTAGTGTCAGAAGCAATCAACTGTTTTGACCAATGACTAAAATTTGTGTGACTTTCAGTAAGTAGGGTGTGTTTGCTATGGATTTACAATCTTACTGATGTTAAGTGGGGAAAAAAGCACTCTTTGTAGAACATTTTCTTTGTATAATCATTATCCCAGATGTAAAGAAGATGCCTTCCTTTCTTAACTGTGGGATTTGAACAACTTTTAGTAATGGTTAAAGGCATGTAGCAAACATATCACCTAAGTTTTCACCTTCCCTCCTTGAGGGAGTGTGTTTGCAGTGCATGGTCTTGCTGAGGAGGGATTTCAATATGTGTATGGATTGCTGTGTGGGCAATGGAGAAGGAGTTTGGAGAAATATGCCTTGCACCTGGGTTGAGGTCTCTGCTGGGGCTGCTGATTAGATTCCCTTCGTGAACTTAAACCATTGTCTCACACTGCTTTCTGAGGATGCTTCATCTCCTCTATGAATTAACTTCATCCTGCTTATAGAATGGTCTGCTGAGGCGGGAGCTTCAACTGCAGACTTTCCTGGACTCTAAGGAAGCATTTTAGGCAAATTCTTGATGCTGAGTTTTGATGCTGTGATATAAAACCTTAGGATAAGTCCAAGACCTCTTGGCATCTGGGCTGATGCATATGTCTGAGCAGTAATGCCCAAAGTAACTGATGATGGCTGTGGTGAGGGAAGAGGGTTTTGTGCACTAATTTATTGCAAAAGGAAAGGAATTTTAAAGGTTGGGTCTGAGGTTCTTCTGCTTTTCACTAGGCATCTATAGAAATAAAAATGCACAGCAAAATTGTGGGTGTAAGTAACTTCAGCCAGAAGAGGCTGAATTGCAGCTACGAATCTTTGGACTGCTTCCCTCTTCCCACTCTCCTGGTTGAATTTGTTATAGGGAGCATACAGCATGTAGGTTTTACCATCCCCAGCATTTGCTGAATCTGCTAGGCATCTTTGCAGGCTGCAGAGCTGGCTGCAGTGGCTGGACCACAAAGACCATTACTCCCTGGTAGCTCCATCACCATGCACACACAACCTTTGGGCACGTCTGCCCTGTGCAGTGTGTTGCACTGTGAGGCATTGAGACAAGCAAAGTGATAGGCAAGGTTAATTAGCCTCAGTACAGTACAGGCTTAAATGTGTCAGTTGTCTTGGGGTTCAGGAGGGGAATAAAACCCCTACATGGTGTTGCTCTGCTCTGTGGCTCCCCAGCACGGGGCTGGGGACACATGAAGTCACCTCATGCGATGCAATATTGACATGTCTTAGGGTTTGTTGATCCCAGAGCCAGGTTAGTACAGCTTGTCAGATTGTGCCACAGTCTGTCTGGATTTAGGGGAGAGATCAAACGTGCTGAACAGCAACTCTGCTCTCACTTCCAAGCATGGCTTTAGGTCTCTAGTGGCAGAGCTCCTTTTAAAACCCAAGCTGTGTTTTCTTAAAGATTTTATCCTTTAAAGTGTTGCACGTGCAATTTAGGTCACTTGATCTTGCTTCCTTTCTGCTTGCTTCGATATTTTTTTGCTTTTTTTTTCCGTTGTGCTTGCTAGTCAGAGAAAGAATTTCAATTTTCCCTTACATACATATATGCCCACTTTTGCTTTGATGCTTCTCTCACAGTCTTTTGCTATGGGTGAGCGGAACTTACTCGGCAAAGAAAGCAAACAGAGAGAACAGACCCATCACCTCCCGCCCCTTGAAAGTGCAGAGGGCATGTGGAATAAATCAAAATGCACAGCATAATAACAAGGTCCCATGGGAAAGGGAGCCTTGTGATTGTGTGCGGGCGTGCACTCCCCTTCGAGACGCGGCCGGGGGCTCACCCCACCGCAGCCGGGGGCTCCTTTCTTTCTCGCTCGCATCTCCCCTCCCGATGTCCCCGATCCATTCACCACCCAGAGAATTGATTAACATTTGTTGGGAGCCTTGGGAGCCGGGGCGAGAGGGGGAGAGCAGAGGGCTCGACGCTGGTGCCCACAGCGTGGCACAGCAAGGCAGGGTTGGGCGCAGGATGGCTATTTTATAGCTGGGGACCGTGGTGACGTATAGCTGAGCGCTCGCTGGCACAGCTCCTCGTGGACCAGTCAGCAGAGCGAAATTGAAGCTGACAAGACTTTTCTGGCATTTTGGAAAGGACTGTAATCTACTGTAGGGGAGAACAGAGCCGCTCAATCACCGCCGCTGTAAATAGGAGACGGAAGGGAGTGAGAAAGGAGGCGAAGAGAAAAAGTGCTTGCTGGGGGGGGAGGGGGGGGCGGCATTTTTGGTGGATGGTATGAAGCCAGCCATGGAAACTGCAGCGGAGGAAAATGCAGAACAAAGCCAAGAGAAAAAAGGTACCCAGGGGTCTAACAATAGCCTGTTTAAATCTTTTCATTCAGGGGGCTTAAAGAGGTTTAGGCCAGTTTTGTCACTTTTTCAAATAGCTCTTAAACAATCATTACTGCATCTTCGAGCTTTCAGCCGTCCTTTCCTGCATGGCTTGACAACAAATTAATAGAGCAGCAATCTTTCTGTCTGCGTCTGTATTTGCTCTGATTCTGTCCTAACCCTACCCAAAATGATGCTTGCAAAAGAAGTCTTGTTATTGCTGCATCTTTGACGGATTTTGGTACATTTGGTTTAGGGAGGTAGCGTGTGCCTGTGTGTTTGCATGTTGTTTTCAGAGCCATAATCTGGTGTTTTCATCGAGACTAGACATGTACCAAGGCTTTGCAATGCAGTGTGGGAGACCTAGGTTATAACAACATATAATAGATTATAATGTCGCACAGCCTTCGCGTAGTGAGCTTGATGCCAAAGGCTACTCTTATTTTTAAATTCCTTTTCTACGGTGTCATCTGGCAAATTTCGCTTTTGTAGTGATATGCCTGCACTATGATAATGGGGAACAATGCAATGAGTTTTGCAACGTTGGATTTCAGGATGTGTTAATCACTGAAAACTGCTGCTTAATGAACAACTCCATGGTAGTAGTTTTGCAGTAGGGAGATGGCAAAGCAGAAGGAAGTCCTTCATCCATCCCAGGCTTACAGGTGATTCTGTTTGGTCTGGAGTGCTGAACTTCAGAGGGGAAATTCAACTAGCAAAGGATGTTTTGTTTCTGTGTTGTGTAATTGATGTCAAATAAATGTTCCTCTTCAGTGTAGCAGACTACTGTATCATAGCAGTACCTTTTTTTGGCTAGATAATACTGTAGTAGCAAAATTATTTAAATTTCCACTGCCTTTTCACATGAGTCATAGTATACTTTTTAACCTGTTGTGTATCATTTATAAACACTCTAAGTATCTCATAGGCATAAGCAGCTGATACACAGCTAAGACATTTCCCCAAGTAGAATTTTTTCATTGATTGTTAAACAGTTCAGATATGAACATGATGAATCCCTGTACTGTCCAGTACCAGATTCTGTTTTCCTCCTTTGAATCTGATTCCTCCTACACACTTTGTATAAATTCAAAATGAGCTTCAGTTTCAAGTAAATGAAATTTGTCAAGTGATTAGACATAGTACTACATAATCCCTTAGGGATTTCACAAAAGGAGGTCCACTGATGAGAGATTAAACTCTGAAAGCCATTAGTGTATGTGAACAACAACCCACCTCTCTGCAGATTTTGAGTAATTAATGTACAAAATGTCCTGAATAGCTTGACTATAAAACCACCTTGAACCAATAGATCATTCTTCAAAAATGACAGCAATTTTTTTTCTCTGAGTTTCTGATGGGACTCATGTTACAATAAACACCAAAGAAAGTTATCTGTATGCATTAGCAGCTGTGCAAAACGAAATGTGTTGCTGAATGTGTTTATGATGAGTTGATGGTTTCCCTTGTGTTTTGGCAAGGATGAAAGCACAACATGTAGAACAGTAAATCTGCTACCAAGTCAAGGTGGTTGATCTGTTGCCTTCATCAGATGCAAGCAGGGGAACCTCCTATCTTAATTTTGCCACCATTTCTCAGTTTTTTCTGTGATAATTTTATACTTTGGATTCATTAAATAGGTATGTGTATGTAACACTTCAAGGCTTTGTTCTTGCCAGTTCTCTAATTTCTGAGAGTAACACATGGTCTCTCACATTATGCTCTTTATTTCTATTCACTTAAATTCCCAATATGTTTCACAGCAAATTAAAATGCAGAAGGCTGAATCAGTGCTACTCCTAGTTTCAATAGCAAATAAATAGCCCAGATCTCTCTGCAAAGTTGCTGCCATGAAGTGCTCATGTAGGAGACATACTTGGTTTTGAGGGGATGATTTTCCAAAGTGCCAAGTCTGTCAAGCCCAATCAGGTTTTTAGATGGGCTCAGTGGGCATCAGGTACCTCTGAAATGGCAAGGTTTTTCACAAGGGCTCTTTCACCAGCAGCTCCATAGAAGAAAATGAGTTTTTTCTCTGTGTGAAGAAATTTGCAGGAAAATGGTGCTGCTTCATTTTGGTGTAAAAACCAGAAGCTGACCCCTTAAAAAAATATGTCCATTTATTGTCTGGACTGGATCTCTTACTTGTTCTGCCTTACATGCTTGCCAGGATTGCAACATTTGCTTCTTCTATTAGGATCTCACCTAGGCTTGGTGTAATGGTCATCCTTTATGGGATGCCCTAGATCCAGTGATTGCAAGGCAACTGCCACAGCTTGAAGCAGTTGAAGAGCTATCACAAAGTCTTTTCATTCTTTCTTCCAGAAGTGAATTGCAAAGGCCAAGGAGATAAACCACCATCTGATGGGGTTTGGGAGATGTTGCTGTTGCTATTGCAAACACTGAGCAAGGGAAGATCCTTAGCTTTCTGCTTTGGGTATTCAAGTTCACACTCAGTATGTTATGCACTGCTGTGTTCTGGGGAAAGTACCTGCATTTAGCTAATAGCAAATTGTACTTTTACAGCTAAAAGGTTTTTTCCCTTTGCCAGAATTTTAAACTGCAGATTTCTGGTTTGTGTTTTTAATGCAAGAACCTTCTCAATGATGTACTGCAATTTTGTGGAAGAAATACTTGGAGGAAGTTGGGCTAGGACTGCATGCTGTCTGTGTACAGAGCTCCCTGTACCTGGGAGAACACTGGAGAGCAATGCTGCCAGAGCACTTGGGATGAGCAGTGAGGTCTGTTTTCAGTCTGAACCCCTAATACAGTCATATCTGAGCATTGGTGCCACATAGGTACTGGGTTTTGTTTCTTTCCCATCTGTAGCAAATCTGGATGTCCAGCTACTCTGGATTGCAGTGTAGCTGAGATAATTTGCAAAAGCTAATGTGCTTTATGAGTAATTATTGGTTGATAAAGGAAAGTGATTGCACTTACTTAGATTTTTAAAATTGCTAAATTGTATATGAATTCCAGTTCTATATTTTAATGATTTTCATGAATCCCCTGCCTGATTCAGGCGGTGATACTACCCAGCTGATGGATTCAGTGTTTATCCAACGTTTGTTTCTCTGCACCCGGATGAGTGGCTGCTGCCCCAGTTTTTTTAATTGGAAATGGAACAACCCCCATGTTGATGGAGATAAGAAATAAGTCAGCTTTGTGCTGTGTATCAGCAGCCCTTATCAGAGGAGAACACCATGGAAGCTGAAGCAAAATGTTTAGCAGATACTTTACAGGGCTGCAGGACAGATTGGATGCATTTTAAAGATGAAGGTTTACAAATTATTACAAATGACAGGGTTTATCTTGAAGGCATTAAATTAAATCAAAACGTGAGGACTGGGCAGGCAGGTTTACTGAGGTGGAATAAATAAGAAAAACGAAATGCCGTTTTGCATCAGCAGTGAAGGACATAGATCCTGATACACATTAACAGGGACAAGAAGTTTCCCTTTTCATTTAACTATGAGAAATACTACCAAGTTGCAAAATAAAAAAAAAATAAAAGAAAATAGAACCCAACTGTGGATGACCATGGTGAATTCACCAATTGCACATGGGGTGGAAGAAAGTCATTGTACTGCAGTGTACTTTCCTTATATAAATATATATGATGTTCAAATTGCCTATGCTGTGTTGGGGAATAATGAAGACCAGTCTGAGCAGCTGTGCCAAAGGTTCCTTTTAATTGGCTCTTCCCTACTAATGTGCTCTTGATGAAAGAAGACCTCATGCTCAGTAATGGCTGTGAGCTTTATTATTTGCATTGTATATAAAGCAATGTTTCTACTTTCAAGCTCTAAATAGACCAGTATATGCTGGTCAAAAATAGAAAGAAAATAATTCTCTTACACTATTGCACACAGTTGTACATTTGTGCGTAAATGAAGCTGTAAAGTGTAGCATGAGAAAGGAATGAATTGTTGTGCAGTTTATTTCACTTGTAGCGAAGTTATTTTTACACAGATTATGACATTTTATTGCATCATAGAAGTATTTTTCAATACAGCAAATGGAAAAAAAGTCTTTATATATATATGTATATATCTGTTATGGTCATTAACCAAAATTTCAAATGTACCCCTGTAGTGTTAGGCTTACACAATTATATCAGAGCTGTCAAGCCATTCAAAGATTTTTAATATGCTGTATGTTTTTCCCCATCTAAGCAGTTTATTGGTGTTTCAGATCCCCTGAAAACAATAACTGCTCAAAGTATAAGTCCCTGAAGAATAGACTGTAGGAAGAGAGGTCCAGCCCAGGGAGAATCTGGGACACGCGATATTCTGGGGATAATAATTTGGCAGGCTTAGTGATTTAGGTTTTAATGAATAGGATTTGGTTTCTAAAGGGGGGGGGGGGGGAAAGGAGAATGCACTCATACGGGTCTGAATGACCTCATGAAAGCAGAAAACCTAGACATATGTGCCATGGGATGTGGTAACGGGGGGTGGGGGAAACCCAGATGGCACTGTACGTGCACAATGGACTCTGCAGCAGTGGCAAAGGGGCTAAAGAGGGGAGTGAAGAAAGGTGGGGGTGTCCCCTTCAGTTACTCTGACCCTTCCCCATTTTCTGGGCATCCTCGTTCCTAATGCAGTGTTAATCACCAGATCATAAATGACCAAGTGACAGCCCTCTCTTTGCTCCCATGGACTGCTTCAGTTTGTTTCCTCTAAAGCTGTATGCTAAAGGCAGCAAGCATGAGGAGGTTGGGCACTGGGAATTTTTTTATAGGCATGCAAGATGATTCATCCCAATGAATATTGAACACCACAGTCGCCATCCGTGTGCCTGCGTGGTGTGACATGAAAACGTTGTCAGTTCTGTAGCTTCTGTGTCTGTGCAGGATTGAGTACAACCTGGTTCAGACAGGAGGACTCGAGCTGCAGGAGCTGGGCTGTGCATGGAGGGTATTGTAGCCTAGACCAGGGAATACAATTAGTACAGTTAGTTCTTCAAAAGGCAAAAGATAAAGAAGCCTTTTAAACCTTTTTTCCTTTCCTAACTATTCAGGGTACAGAGTTAAATTCCAATTGATAGGTACTGTGTGCAGTAGATGTTGTGCCACTGAAGCCTGTGGGGCTTTTGACCTGGTGGTAATTTCACATGAGCAGGCCTGGATAGGTCTTAGAAAACTCACCGAAAGATACTCTTCAGCCTCAGAGGTCATGCCAGGCAGGCAGTAAAGGCTACCAAAGAGCCATTGCTAAGTGGCTTTTTGTAGAGGAGTGGAAAACCTGCGATTCCTTATGGAGTTTGAACTGCCTCCTGATGAAAGGCACCCTGTTACTGCAGAACCAGAAATTGCTAATTGAAGAAACCCAGCGTCTTAGCATATCTTCGTTTACAGAAATGATGCTACAAAGTTTACATGCTGTCTCTGTGTTTCAGGGTTTGATGTTTGTACCACAGCAGACAGTGGTGACTTCAGTGTTCCCCCAGGCTAAGGGAGAAAGGCAGCTGCCTCCTCTGCTGCTGCTCTGAGCAAGTGCTTTTTGTAGCCACTGCAGGAGAAATCTTGAACTGTGGGTTCCAGCCTGGTAGGATAAAATCCTTCTGGTGCCAACAGTTTGGTTCAGATGCTGCTGCAGTGCAAATGAACTCTTTTCTTCCTGGCAGTCTTTGCAGCTGGTTTTTTGGGGTTTTTTTGGTTGTTTTTTTTAAAAAATCTGAATCTGTTACCAGTGTCCAGTAAGTAGCTTCAGGAGAGCAGGGAGCAGACATTTGGGAGGCAGAGGAGAGGAGGTATGCAGTACTAGCAAAGAATCCTGTTGCTTTCCATTTTGCATTCAATTCAATTATTATGGCATTCCTTCTGATCTCATAAACAGGATTGGTCCTCTGTAAGCAGAAGGAGATTATATCATCCTTAGTATGTACTGTCATTTGGGAACAATACTTTCAACACATTTTGAATTTTGTTATGTTTATAAGATGTGGAATTTGTCTTTTTAAAAGGAAGAGTAAGCCATACAAGATGGAATACTGTCTTCTGTGAAGGATTTGTTAGCTGATACTTGCTTGCTGGTTTAGTGTGAGATGCAGAGGGGAGAGTTACCAAGCCATGAAGTATCCTTCAGAGAGGCATTAATATTGTTTGCATCCCAAATCCAAAAGACTGTTTTAGTATTGGAGTTCATTTGCTGATAGAGGAGATGAACAAATTCTTGTTTCAAATCTCTAGATCCAGCATTTGGATTCAGGGCCAAGATTTTTTTCTCTTCTTGACATATGCAAATGTAGCTGTGCCAAAATCCTCATTGCATGAGCAGCAAAACCACATGAAAGAGGGACCAGGTCCAGGACCTTCCAAGCCCCTCACAGGCGAGAAATGTATGGCATTTCTCCTCCCTCTGCCCCCTGAAATTCGTCTCTAATCTAGTCTGCCATAGGTAGAGTTTTCATTATCATAACCTTTAGTTCCTCCACATGCCCAAATGCTGCTGAATTGGATGTAAATTTGGCTAGGGATGATAGTTACTTTCTCATTTAGCTACCGCAGAGGGGAACTCCAGTGCATTTTCAGTAAAGATCTGTTGGTCTTAACCCTGACAGCCTTGACAAGGCTATAGCAGTGCCAGCAGGGGACACATAGGTTCAAAAGTGGTTTGATGTTGTTTTACCAGTGGCCTCTTTCAGGGGCTCTGAAACCCTGTGCCAATGAGTGTGCAGTGAGTGTGTGAGTGGGTGAGGTGCATTACTGCATGTGGGTCTTGTTGCTGGGCTTCATTTATCCTCTGAGAAGATGAGGAGAAGCATATCTGCTTTTCTTCATTGTGAACCTGGAACAAGTCTGTTTTAACACGCTTGGTCCAGATTTTTGGTCTTGAGCAGAGCCTATGTGAAAGAAAGCTAACAATTTCTATTTTTTTAATGTAAAAAAGTAATGGAGCGAACCTTTGTGTTTGCCCTACCTTTACATATAACAATAACCTCTTTTTTGACAGATTTATAGTCTTTTTGAAAAACAGGTAATGTGGTTTCCAATGAATTTGTCTTCCTTTACTTCTGGAGCAGAGCTTTTTGCAATGGACAGAGAGGGAGACATGAGAGTGGGTGGGGGGAAGGAATAGAGAAGTCCTTCCTTTTGTGTTTTAACTCAAATCTTAGGTGCAGTTTTAGCTATTCAACCTTTCTTAACACCTGTGTGAGCATTGCCATGTTGATCGTCCCTCCTAATCCCTCCCTTGGTCTGTAAGGTTATGTTGATTCAGTTCTGAAACTACAGCTGTTTTTCTGGGCTCTTGTTTTTAAAGTTAAATGACTGAAAGTACTGAACTAAAACTTGCTGGTGACACTGACTTTTTACCACCTAAAATTGGCAGTGATCACCAGACCAGAAATGGAAATTGGCAGGTACCACTGGATGTACAGGAGTTCAAGGCCACACCGGTACCATCATGTGCCAGCATTGAGAGGCAATATTAGTCCTTTGGGGATTCAAGGTAAATAAAGGGCTGGGTGAAAGGGAAGTGGAGAGTTCAGAAATGGTAGTAGCATAAACCTAATGCTTTGCACTAGTCCTAACAATTTAAAATAAACATTCTTCTATTTTTCTTGTTTTGTTTGTTAAGGCTGTAAGGAATCTACTTCCTTTTGTATGAATACTTGACATAAATTTAAATTTGGTTGTTAATGCCTGAAAAGACAATACTGTGTGGTGAGGGACAGCTTCCTTTTAACTGTGCTGCCCAATTGCTCCAAAACTGTTTACAGATGAGATGGCATAGTATGGGGATTTATGCAGATGAATCTCTCAGACTCATCAGCCACAAATGCAGAAATTACACTAAAGCAGTGACAGCACATCTGACTTACTGGTGTCCTACAATATACTTCCTAGACAATATTCCATGGTTTTGTTTGCATTTTCCCTTGCTAGAAGCACTAAGTGCATATTTCAGTGTCTAAAGGAGGATTTCAGCTGAAGCTTTAAACATGGTTTGGTGATTCCACATACCTGTCCTTTTGATATCTGGCTTGAGACCTCACAAAGATCCTATTTTATTTTCCTGAAACTTCATTTTAATAGTCTCTGGGGGAAATTAGCTTTGAAGCATCTCAGGAAGGCACCTGAAATCAAGCCTACAATTGATTGCATTGGAAAATTCCAGTCTGACTGAGGGGGTTAGCACAGTGAGGGATATATATGCTCAGAGATAGCATTTGCAGCTAGTTCTATCCAGCAATCCTCTTCTCTTTACGGAGCTGATTGAAGCCTGCTTGACAGCTTGTTTGCTGGAGGTGCCTGCCTCCGCATCAGAGACTTTAATAGCAATTGCACCACAGCTTGCTGCCTCATCCTTCCCCTTTCCATTATATTTTTGCACATTTGTTCTTTAGGATTCAAATGTTTATGTATTTCAAATGGCTTTTTTTCCCCCCAAAGTACTTAGGTTGCAAATTATGATCTCCATCTTCAGTATCAATATTCATTTTGACCATATTTTATGACAAATTACCTGCGTGACAGACTTAGGGCTGCCAGAAGGTATTTCCATGCTTCTGATCAGTGCGTGTGGGATGTTTTATGTATGGAAGAAATGCTTCAGGAAGGAGCTATAGATTATGAACACTGCCTTCCTGGGCTGTGGGGGACATGGAAGGAGCAGGCTAGATGCCTGGTTATCAGGGTCTTGTGCCCCTTCAGCTGTCTCCAGTGATGAGACACGTCCGTATGTGCTGGCACAGATGAGCCAGGACGCAGGGGAGATGCACAGCCTTCTGTTGAAGCAGCTGGGAGTCTGGCACCTAAAATGGTGCTAGAACTCTTGTTTAGGCAACTGAACCCTGTTCGGTCTGCCTTGGGAATCTTGCTGAAATAATATACAGGTAAATGTGGTGCCTGTCATGGAGGAGTTGAAGATGAACATGTTCATGCTGATGGGATAAAAAAAACCAAAAAAAACAACACCAACGAAGCCCAGAAGTGTCAGTTCAAGGAAAGGTTCTTTGAATGACTGAACTTAAAGAAATTCAAAGGCTTTTAGGCAGCAATGAAACTGCTCTGAACAGGTCTTGGGTAAAACCAACCTGCCAATGATGGATTAGCCACCATGAAAATATTGATCCTTTGCTCCTTTCCCTTAGATTGGAGGGAAGATGTCACTTCAGTCCCAACTCAAGTCCCCACTGTAACATGCCTCCCTTCAGTACTGGCTTACAGCTCCCTGTGCTGGGTGGCATTGGCTGCTGTGCTGAGATAACCTCTCTGTTCCTCTGACAAGCCACATTATTTCTCGAGTGCCCTTGTAATATGTATGATTCTACTTTACCTCCTCTGTCAGTGTCCAGATGAACATCACTATGAGAGCACCTCTGTGGCAGTCCTCATTGCATCGACCTCTTCTCCCAGGATCTCTATGTACAACATGATCTGCCTTCCCCAATTTGAGCTTGAATCCAGCACTTGAGCAACAAGGGAAGAGTCAGTGTGGGAGATTCACTGCAGTGCTGGAGCCAAGACATCCTCAGAACACCTGCAAGCTTAATGAGCCTTTCAAAATGCCTAAAACAACTATTTTTCCCAGGAAGCAAAGTACCATCTTTTTCTTTAGAAAGAGAAACTTTGCAATGGTTGTTTAACATGAGCTTAGCTGTAGGCACTCTTCCAGGCTGGGTGGGCGTTGTTTGCTTTATAGGAATCTTTTTTTTTTTTTTTTGTAACTTACTTCCCCCAGATGCTGGGAGGTGTTTCAGCTGCTTTGTGAGTGCATAAGGACATGTGAATGTGGAGTATCTCACTGAAACAGCCTGCTCCCTTACTGAAGCAAGCTTAAATTTTGGAAATGGTGTTCTGGGGACTCAGCTGTGGAAATACCTACAGGAAAGCTTTTGCAGGGCAAAGGGGTCCTGCAGTGATGGGTCAGGTTTCTTACCACTCTTTTTGTTCCATAGTTGGGTAAACTCATAGTTAGGTAAATGTCTGGGAAGATCTTTGCATCTTCAGTTATCTCTTAAATGGAGAATTAACCTTTTGAATCTGCCAGGCTGGAGTGCATACACACACACACGCAGGTTTTGGCCCTCTGCTCTAGGGAGAGATAGGTTTTGTTTCTGTTTGCTTCTTTGTAGCTAGGGAGGAGTCAACTGGGGCAGCGATAGCGGTGGCTGAAATCCAGTGTGGCAAAAGTCTTGCTCTCCTGCTGAGTGCTGAAGGCTGATGGAGAGTGAGGTGAGTTACAGCTGGCAGAAAGGTGGAGCTAAGACTCTCAACTCCAGTCTTCCAGTCCAGGTAAGATATTCACCTTTGATTAAAGTCAGCTTTAACACTCATGTCAGCCATGTTACAGGTGGATCTGGAGGATGGTTGGATCAAGGAAACCCAAATGTCCTTACAGATTATCACAGAACTGTTTAAGCCATCCATGGGACTGAAATGCTTAGGTGTTTTTGTACTTTCCC